TCTTGACGCCGGCCATCCTCGGGCGATACATATCGGTACCAGGGCCCTGAACCATTGTTAGAGTGCAGACTTTGCAGGTCTTCAACTTCGGCGAAACCAGCATCAACAGCGCCATCGATCCAACTCCTTTCAGCCCGTGGTGCTTGATGTGTTCCCTTCGACACCTGAATTGGCCCATCGTAACCATGCGTCGATTGATTATTCGTGACTCCTTGGTAAGTTTCAACCTTGGTTACCCGTCAGCTGGCAAGGCTTTATGAGACGTGGGTTCTTACCTTCTGAATGAACGGCAAGAGATCATTAGCACTCCACCCTGAAGTATTCCACGAGTCAAAATCATCCCATTGCCCTCTGGTGTATACCATCCAGTTGATTGCGGACCCTCCGCCTAGTGTTCCTCCAGTCTCGACAACTGGCTCGCGATTTGAAAGCTGCGGTGACTTTTTGGCTTTCCAGAAGAGGGCGGTCTTCGAGCCAGGCAAGGTGTTCCTCTCAAACAACGCGGGATAGATGATGTCGGTCACATTGTAACTGTCCTGGCCCTGCTCGATGACAAGAATCGAAAGGCTTGGGTTGGTTTCGGCTAGCCTCGAGGCAACGATGCTCCCAGATGTGCCACCTGTGGTGAAGTGAGTTCCGATGTTGCGCGACAGATATCGTTATGACTTACCTCCGGCGATTATAACGTCTACTTCAGCCAGGGTGTTCGGAAGCTCCGTCACAACCCCCTTAGAAACGGTTGCCAATGCCAAGATACCCACAATGGTGTTTTGAAGCTTCATTGATCCCATGCTGAGGCCGGAAATCAATGTCAAATGGGGAACAACTGTTGGAGATAAAACCGGTATTCATTCATTGGCAGAGGCGGTGTATTTAGAATCATGGCTAAACTTATGAACGCCCGTCAGTCTACCTGAACCCCGCTACCGAGAGCAAAAGAATGCATAGCAAGCGCGTTCATTAGGGAAAGGACTCAATTACATCATATTGTAACGGCAGGCGGGGGATGCATCCAACGTTGCACTGGGGCCCTTAGCCCCTTGGCAATATCATTGCAGTACGTCTAAAACTAGGTTCTGTCACTTTTATTCTGCACAAGGGAATGTGTAGTAAATGTCCTCGCCTCAAAGAGGGGAAGCTTGAGAGGCGCTTGTAATAGCTCATGTTGATCGCCGGTCAGCGTAACAACGTATCCCGTTACGGACTGAAGAGCCGCTCAGTCCAGTCCGAGGGAACGAATGGTAGAAAGGGGCATGGATTGCGTTCCTTGAGGATGTTTCGCAGAAATAAGCTTGCCGTTTCCTCCAGTCGAATTACGGGAACGAAGCCCACTTTGGACATTTGATAAAGGCTGCAACGGGGCCTGAGAAAACTTGTGCAGATCTTCTCGTGTAATTCTGGCCCAATAAGAGTATCCGAGGTGTATGCCACATTACCAATAATAGCCCTCAAACCCGGAGCCTTCGAAAGGGAAAGTGAAGGTACAGCACGGGTTCCATCGACTATCGTATGCCGTGGAAGCTACAGGCTCCTCGCTATCGCTCTTGGAGGGCGCCTGTGGCAGCGTCCTTGAGTTGCCGGTGCCAGATTTTGGGCCAGACTTTCGAACCAGTTTCCGATGGAGCGTCTTTCCAAGCGTCTTGGCATTGGCGTCATTACTTTTTCTCCATTCAAAGTAATCACCTTTCTCTTTCATAATACTGTCCAACTCATTGAAATAGTATATTAACGAAGACCTCTGGCATTGCATCGTGACTTTGGTACCTGAGGTCTGAGTGGATAAAGGAGCGGGTAAAGTGACTTCGAGGAAATCGTCGCCGAAGAATGCACCGATTTTCCCGGGTGAAATTGCCAGAACTCCGGTATTGAGACCGTTTCTATTCAACATTTTGATGGTGAAGAACAAGGCGTACCAGTTCATATCGACGAAAATGAAAATAGTATGTCGTAGTTGGGGAGCATGACTGTGTAGACTCTTGCCGCATTCTGCAATTGATGAGGTGGACTATTGGTGAAAGCTGTGCAATAGTGGTCTGAGGCGCATACAAGATGGGAGCCAGACCCTCGTTCGTGGGCGCATGAGGAGAGACATCCCGTTCCCTCGAGGCTGTAGGGTATTTGGCGACTGCAGCGGATTCAGGATACTTCTCTATGGGGCTTCCATGTCCAAGGTGCAAGAGACATACGTTGTTTCCAAGGGAAGCGGATCCGGACTAATTATCAAGTCCAGGGCTGGTGCAATTGCAGGGAACAAGTACGAGATGTAGAATAAAAGATGAAGCAAACTCTATAGGTGTTGATGTTGGATAGGTAGGCGGAGCCAACGGTGTCGGGGCGAAGGGAAGTTGTCAAAAGATGAGGATGCGTGATGCTAGGTGGTGGAAGATGGGGGGAAGAAATGGAATCTTGAAGTGGAAAGATGTTTTCGGTCAACAAAGAATCAAGCGATAAGTACCATAATTCCTATGGTTTTATGAATATGAAAGTTCCCAAAACCGGCCCTCATGCCTTCACTCGTCCTCACCGTCTTTCTTGTCTTCTTCCTTCTCAGGCTTCTGGCCGTATACCACGTTGCTGTGAAGCGTATCAATACAAAAGCATGATCCAGCACATGACTAATAGAACTCACTAGTGATACCACCCATGCACTTTGCCACTTTTCAAGTCATTGCGAACTCCGGCCAGAAGCACGATTACCTCCTCTTTCGTCCAACCAAGAGCCCCGCAAAGCAGCTTCATAGAAAACCCCTCCAGACCGTCCAACATCTGGATGAGGTTGCACATTCCAATATCCTTCAGATAAGGGTCCTTTGCCCATGGGCCAGCTGGGATTTTGTAGGGCTGGTGGTGAATGTTTATCAAGCCAGTGTTGTCACGCACCAAGCCCTCCAGCTTCGGGCCAACTTGTGCATCTCGACCAAAAGCTCTAGAGGCATCCATAAAGAGATCAACCCATCGCTGCAAGTCAGTGCCCTCAAGGGAACCGTCGTCTGAAGTCAACTGGAAGCTCCAGTCTTGGAACTCAGCCCAGCCGCCAGGGCTTAGATTCCTACACAAATTGGTTTGTTTTAGCAATCAAGAAACTCAGGACATATCAAACTTTGACAAGTCTTACTCATAGACACGCTTTACATAGGTCGGCCAGTCTGCCAAAGACCCGCTCATATATCGACTGAAAATGAAGTCAAACGTTTGATTGTTGACCCATTCACTCTCAATATCATCGATCACAAACTTGACATTTGTTGGGACCCTGTGCCACTGTCAGTAAGCTTCTTTCGGTCCTTTAAGGTACTAGAAAGGTACCAGTCCGGTTGGATAGCACTGAGGTCGATGCCGAGGATCTACTTGTTTTTAGCGACCAACGACTGTGGTTCAAGACGTCACCTATTACTATATGTACCTCAGCGTTAGGAAATAAGTCGCCCATCTCCATGGACCCTAAAAAGTGAGCATCAATCCGTGGCGTTGCGAACAGGGGATAGCATACATATACCTGTTCCCGTTCCAACATCAAGGATACGGTGAGTTTTAGCCTTGATTATAGGTGCTAGGAATAGCCTATTTCCGATCGTCTTCGTCATCAGGGTGTGAACCAAGTCTAGTCGCTCCATTTCTGTCTAGACGAGAAGGTTAATATATTTGACCTTCCGAAGAATAAGAGAAGTAGTCTATCGGGCTGTACCTCGTCATTGGGGAAATTGTACGCTAAATTGCTGGTCAGCGAGAAATGAATTGAAAAAACTGATAATATGTGACAAAACCTACCCCCGGCTCGGAATGCGTGATACCGGCGACCATACTCAGTTGGATAGTCCACAACAGACGAAGTCAACGATGCAGTATACGAGGAACTAAAAGCCCAGAACGTCCTTGATCAGTAGCTAGAATTACATTGCAACGAAAGGCAGAAAGGCTAGCCGTGGGTCATCAGTGTAAATGTACATTCTATCGTCAATTTGTGACCCATCGTCCTAATGAGATACAACAAATCAGATAAAATAATCAAAAAAGGTTAATGGGAGAATAGGAAGTACGGTAACTTACGTTTTCACCATGGTCAATTGTGATTGGCGCTACAGGCATAATAGCTTCAGCGGGAGACTCCATACTCCCTGGATTAGGGGCCGCACTAGCTGTCGCTGATAGGGATGCTGGAGACTCTGGTGATTGCAGAGCTTCGTAAGCTGGAACCGGTGAGCTTGCAGCGATTGTTGGGATTGCGTTAGTCACACTGGCTGAAATGGGTCGAGTTCCCTCGGGTGCCAGTGTTTGATGGTGGTGTCAGCAGCAATAGCTATAACAGAAAGAGAGATTTGACAGAGCCAGTCTTGGAGATCCGGTCCTGGAGCGGTATGATTTTGTAGGATTTTGGGATCCAGACAAACCCTTGTTGTCCTCAGGAGAATTGGGATGCAGATATTGTCTCCTTCCTAATTGGGCTCGGTGGTGGCAAGATCATGGTGGGTAAAACTGCACGCCGGATTTATCTGAAGACAACCCCGGTGCAGACTTGGCGCAAAGCAAACATTGACAACCAACCGCTGGGTCCAATCGTCCATTAGAATGCAAGATACACCCTGGAGAAGCAGTTTCATGGCATTGGAAGAGCATAAACCTAACGAGAGGCTATGCCTATTTCTAGTTTAGATCAGGGCCACCACTCCACATGATATTTGACACATCATTAAATAGACACAGCATACGACGCGATCCCAGTCTTTCGGCTGAAAGTGAGAGACGGGGATAATCAGGCCATAGCTTCAGTGCTAGGCCTAGTATACTAGATATAAACAAAGGTTGTGTGCGTTCAACCTACTGATATACACTTAGTGGCTGTTTGGCTAGCTATTAAGTAAGACCTTTTCAGCTTTTTACTTTCATCAAACAGAGTGTAAGCCGCAAAAAGCAAACGTATAACCATAAAATAACCTCAATTCCCGACTTCATGCCTCGAACAAAAGTGCTTTCTAGACCTATTGTGGGTTGCAAAAAAGAATTGACCAGCCTGGGGGTCGAACCCAGAATCTCCTGATTTCAAGATTAAGTAACTTAATCGTAGTCAGACGCCTTGCCATTGGGCCAACCGGCCCGATATGATTGGTTGGACGCATTCACAACCTATGTCGAACTCCACATGCAACTCTGGCCATGATTCTCAACCCCATTATGCATTTATCCATAGGTAATGAATGAGGATTGAACAGATGGTTGTAGTCATTCATGCTACTACATATGGATTCCTTCATATGGAGTCTTTCTCTGTTCTTTTCGCCTTTGCCCCAATGTCATTGCAATTCAATCATTAGAACCCAACTCTCTCAAGTACAAATCCAAACTTGAACTCTTCAACATGCACCTTGAGGTCCTCGCGAACATTGGGACCGCAAGCAGCAGTACCAACGCCGGCAACGCGAGCATCCAAACGAAGGAGCGTCGCATCTTCCTCCACGAGGTCACATGGGTGCGCGGCGTTCTGCACCGTCTCGGAAGTGTACCGGCTGACCTGGAAACTGAACTGACGCCACTCTTCCTCGGACCAGACGGCAGCATCGGCCGGTGTGGCACGAAGGCCGCGGCCGTGATCCTCGGTCAGCCTAACATAGCGAGTCTCCATGTGGTTACCGCCCTCTTGGGGTACCTCGTAGTGCTGGTGCAGCTCTGGCACGGTAGCACTAAAGACGCCAAGGTGCTGGCTGGACTTCTTATCCGGGTAGGATTCCCCGGGGCCGAGGGCAAGATACTTGATGTTGTTGAGCGATTTAGGAAGACGCAGGTTCAGGCCCACGCGAGGTATATGAGTGGGCTTGATGCCGCGGGGCTTCAGCTCAACTGCAATAGTAAACCGACCAGTGGCCTCGATGGTGTAGGTGGTGGTGGTTTCCCACCCCCAGTCGAGGATACGAGGAGACAAGTAGGTGTTGGTGATGATCTCAACCTTGTCAGTCGACTCGTTGATCTTGAGCGACCGGAGCTGACTGTCAAAGGCATCCACGCCGAAGCGAACCCAGTACGGCAAGTCATTGGGCTTGTCATTGTCGGTGGGGGCACGCCAAAAGTTAGGAATGATGGCAGCACCGGTGGAAGCGTCCTTCTCGAGAAGAGGGATACCTGCAGCTGTCCAGGAAGTGACGTAGCCCCGGGCAGTGTCGAAAGTGATGGCAAAGTCAGAACCGGAAACAGTGGCTTTGGCGCGGGACCTTTCAACCTGCAGCTTGGAGGTGAGGGTGCTAGTGGCCAGCTTGGGAGCCGCGGGCACACCGGACAGCTTGTGTTGGATCCAGGCGATCTCGTGAGTGGTCTCGGCCCAGTTGGTGGATTCCTTAAGGCCAAAGGTCACAGTGAGGTAGACCTCTTTGTCGGACTTGATGTTCGCGAGGCTTGAGGGGAGGTCGACCTTAATGGTCTCACCGGCGGCGACCTTCGGGATATCGAGGCTACCAGAGGCGAGAAGGACGGAGCTGTTTCAATTATCGTCAGTATTATTCTCCTTGGTCTTGGTTCAAGAACAGGTAGACTCACCTGTCGCCCAGCTCCTCAACCTTGTAGGTGGAGGTGAGGTGATCGACGCCGACAAAGTCGTACTTGTTCTTCACCACCAGCTGGTTGCCCTCAATAGACAGCTGAAGAGGCTGGTAGGCCTTCTTGAGCTCAACCAAGCCAGGCGTAGGGTCATGGGTGCTGTGAAGGAGACCGTCCATAACGAAAGTGCCGTCATGAGGACGTTCGCCAAAGTCTCCGCCATAGGCGTAGTAGCCCTTACCGTCGGCATCTTCTTTCCAGATACCATGATTTGCCCATTCCCAGATATAGCCACCTTGAAGGCGGGGGTACTTCTCAAAAACTTCGATATAGTCATCGAGGCCACCAGGGCCATTACCCATGGCGTGGCCATACTCACAGAGGACAACGGGCTTGTCAAAGCTTCCATCTTCCTTCACGCCCTCGGTCTCGACCAGATTGCTCAGACGGCCAATTGGAGGGTACATGTAGGAGTACATGTCCGCAGTCTCGGCCTTAACATCACCCTCGTAGTGGATCGGGCGACCGGAGTCAAACTTCTTGGCGTACTCGTACATGGCCTTGTGGTTTTCACCGTAGAAAGCCTCGTTACCCAGCGACCACATGATGATACTCGTGTGGTTCTTGTCACGTTGAACCAATTGAACCATGCGGTCGAGGTAGGCCTCACGCCACTCGGGGTTTTCGCTGGTGTACTTGCCGGCCAAGGGGAAGGTTACGGCCTTGCGTTCTTCGTAATCCGCCGCCTCGTCGACGTCCTGCGGGCGGGCGACGGCATCGTAGAAACCATGGCACTCAAGATCGGCTTCGTCCATGACCCACAGACCAAGCTCGTCGGCAAGCTCGAAGAGACGGGGGTGGGGTGGGTAGTGCGAGCACCGCAGTGAGTTGACGTTGTGGTTCTTCATGATGAGGAGGTCGCGCTTGGCGTACTCGAGAGGGACGGCACGGCCAAAGTGAGCATGGTGCTCATGTCTGTTCACGCCTCTAATGCGGATAGGTACACCGTTCACGGAGATAAGGCCGTTCTTCAGCTCAACCTTGCGGAAGCCAATCTTTTGGTAGATGGAGTGGGAGCCGAGGGTGATATCGACTCGGTAGAGGTAAGGTGTCTCGGCCGTCCACTTTTTGGGGTTTGTGACTGGAATGCTGAGATCGACCTTGGTGTCGTTGGGGGTAACCTCTGCTTCCTTGGTAGCGATCACGGCACCGCCATTCTTGCCAAGTTCGCTAAGGGTGAGCTTGACAGTGCCCTTTTCGGCAGTCTTGATGTCGATGGTCGCGAGGAGGGTAGCATCTTCGTATTTCTCGTCCAGGTCGGTGCGGAGGAACCAATCCTCGATTCTGGTGGCCTCGGGAACGGCAAGGAGGGTGACGTCGCGGAAGATACCTGCAAACAAGTGTTTAGGAGATGCCCAGTCGGCAGAAGTCTTGGCTGTCACTCACCAGAAAGCCACCATTGATCCTGGTCCTCGATATATGTTGCGTCAGACCATTGGTAAACTCTTACAAAGAGCTCATTTGGGCCATCCCTCTTCAGAATGCTTGTGACATCGAACTCGGACGCGTTTCGGGACCCTTGAGCGAATCCAATGAGCACGCCATTGACCCAGATGTGGTACGCAGAGTCGACACCGTCGAATCTCAGGCGCAACTGCGACTTCGCGTCCCACGTTGAGGGGACGTAAAATGTGCGTTTGTAGGTACCTGTAGGGTTCTCGCTGGGCACATAGGGCGGGTTCACGGGAATGGGAAACTGAGTGTTGGTGTACCACGGATACCCGTGTCCCTGAAGCTGCCAGTGGCCCGGAACGTTGATGGTGCCCCATTCGTCGCCCTTGTCTTCTGGCAAAGGCGCCTCCTCGGGAGTACCGGCCATGTGGAAGTCCCAGACGCCATTTAGCAACACTGATGTCTCAGGAATGAAGTATGCTCGAGCAGGCAGGGTGTTGCGTCTGAAGACGGAGGGGTTCTCATAATCATGAACTCCCTCCTTTGCTTGGAGGGACAGGCTCTGGGGGGCCATGATAACGGTTCGAAGGAGGGGTAACAACGGGATGAGACACGGATTGGAGTTGAGTAAGGGAAGAAGGGGGAGTGTAGAGGGGAGAGAAGAAGAGAGCAGGAATTACGCAGACAAATGGCCACCAAGGTCTGGTAGTTATTTATTGGCGCTCAATGCTCCAGGCGGAGTAACGTGTCGGGTGCAACACCGAGGCAAAGACCAGACAGTCCCTCGGCGAGCTGTCTCCTGTTTTCTCGTGAGACCAAGTTGTCCCCGCTATACGACGAGCGAGCGCGGGGCAAACACTGGACTTTCCTCGGGGTAGCTTTGAGTCAGGTCGTATCGGTGTAGTGACGACCCCAAGATGATCCCTGCTCTCCTCGACTTCAACCCACCGCAACTCCGCACTAATTCCTATATATGCTGATAGAAAGGGGCTTAGACTTGCCCGACCTTTAGTGGTTCTGATTGGGTCCGGGGAAGTCGGGGCCGGCCCCGCACCCCTATCTGGGACAGAACCGTTGCAACACTTGACATGGCATCTTGGAATGATGGGAGACTCACTGTGTTTGTTACCCCGGATTGAAAATGTATATACCCCAGCTAATTTTGACTGAACACTGCGTACAAAACTGTGCTGCTGGTTCATGGTTGAGCAATCCGTTGTGTCACCCCAGGTTCCCTCCTTTCTTTCTGCCTTGTGCCGCTTGGATATGCTTATGGCTCTCGAATGCGGGGCGGGGCTATCTTATCTTATGGTGGGCTGGCGGTCCAGCGAGCAGAACATACAAGAGGGTCGCGTTATCACCTCTCCAGTCTTTCGTCTCCATCGATATCGATGAAACCCATCCAATCCTATGTATGGTCCCTACTGATGGTTCCGCTCTTCCTGACCTGGCCCACCTTCGTTTGAGCCGTCATGTTTGCGTACAGCTAGCTTTTGTTGCTGTTCGACCCCAAGAGGGACCGCCTTGTATCGGTACCTCAGGTTCTGTTCAGAGACCTTCTATTGTGTTGAATGTTAATAATCATGACATATATTGTAATTTTCACTATGCATGATTCTACTTGTATAGTTGATTCAAATGTAGTCAATTGACTAAAAAAAAAAATTTGGCTTGTCTTGATCGCAGGTGCCAGATGAAGTCAATATTTCCATCAGTGTTGTGAGTGTCATTGATACCGGTCCTTGCTTTCAGGCTCCGATGAAGACACGAGATGTTCTTTAAAGGACCTCTATAGCCCGGCTGGCTCCATCTTGGTTTCGAGCAGTTTGCTAGACGGCTCAGTCTTTGAGTTTGTGTCAGCCTCCGCTATGGTTCACTCAACCCCAATGTGCAGGGTTTCCAGGATTGATTCAGGAACTCAAACGAATTATTATCTCCACGTTTCTGCTCCTCTGTGTTATCATCACTATGTTATACTTCTACATATTTTCATGTTTCAGGACCTATTTGAGGCTGCCTTTGTCGTAAACTGCTCAACATGACACCAATCGGCTGTGCTGTGCGGCTGTGCCAATGCAGTCGATGTACTTTCTCTCCTCTCTGACCATGAACCGCAAC